GACAAAAGCCTTTCGGGTTTCATTGTCAGATATTCTCCAGTAGTTTATTTTGATTTGGACTTCATTGTAATGAAAACACTTTTTCTGTTATAACATAGTGATCTTGAAATGAAATGCTGGATAGACTAATTTCCGGTTTGACCAGGCGAGAAAATTCGAAGAAACGAGTAACATAACCTGACTGATAATATTCATGGGACGAAATAGGTAAGTTAATGGTTAGAAGCTAAACGGCGTAATGAATCGTCATTTTAAAATAATTCACAAATGATAACGTGAATATGAATAACTCGTCGAACAGTTAATTTGACAGATTTCTAATTGACCTTACTTAACAACTGGTTAAGCCAGTATTTTACGTCCCATTGTTTTCTTGCTAACGTGAGTGACATCAATGAGAAATTAACGTGGAAATTCTAGAATTTTTGTATCTAATATTAGAAATAGACTTCAGAACTTTCTCAGCACCGAAAGCTTCCCGATGAGTACTAGTAAATGATTTAGTTATAACTTGAATTTTAAGTAATGTGTGTTTCACAAAAGGTGCTTTATCTAACCCTTATCAATGAAGAATACATAAGTACCCACCGTTGAAAATCAAACGGTTTATCTTTGAAATGACGAGTAATTAATGTAAGGTTGCTGATATATCTATTTAAGTAGTATATGGCATCTAACTAAATTAATGTCAAATGAATCAGATTAGAAGTATCCTATCATGTAAATCACTGAACATCACAAAACTAAATGTAATATTACGGTTTAAATAGTTTTTTTAGCTAACGATCTGCCTGAATGATACAAAACAAACCCCGTAGGGAAGCCATATGATGACTTTATCAGTATAATCACACTAAAATATAAGTTACTTTTTTCGATTTACTCATCTGATATATATATATATATATATCAGACATCTATCAACAAATCCGGTGCACAGTAAAAACGAAGCTACCCTACGAAAAGACTCAAAATCTATTGTCTATAATTTATTAAGCTGAAATAGAGGAGTATAATTCTATCCGTAAGTATTATTTCCATGTACTTTAAAAGCATTCTACATCAAAAGTCATTAAGGAATATTATTTTCTCCGAAAATACACTATATCCGTGCACACCACACTTTAGTGGAATACAAATGGCATAATTTATTGATTTAGAAAGTTATTTGCCACATAAATTACAAATGAATAATTTGTCAATAGTTCATGAATATTAGGCATTTAAGCAACTAAAGAAAGCTATGATGTCAATAATGAAAAAATATAGACTATTCAAAGAAGAACATCTTCCTTCCTTTGATATTATTTAATAATGCTTGTACAATCGTTTTGAAATTAATGCAATATGTTTATGAGTTTATTATAAATAAAATTTAATTGGATAATAAATTATTTGGAAATATCGAACAACGATTAATTACAACTGATTAGTTATTAGATAAGGTAACAGGAAATCTCAATTTTACAGGAGATTATTCAAAGCCTAAACAGCTTAATGCTAACTTTTCAGACTATGAATTAGGGTGAAACGGGTTCAAGTTAAAATACTGATGATCAGTTCCGTTAAGATCGTAGGTATGTCGCACGAAGCCTATGTCAACTACCTCCAACTAACTAACATAGCAGGTTATGTAAAGATCTAAGGACCAATTAAAAATTGTAACATGAAAATAATTTAGAGATAATTATTCACTTGATTAATAAGAAAATAATAACTGAATAGTGAAATAACAGCTAGTCAATAATTATAAAGAAAATTATAAAGGAGTGAATAACAATTTATAATTAAGTTTTAAAGATAAACAGCCAAGTTTTAACTAAGATAAAATGAGATATCTAACGTGTTATTCTTTGTATAATCAGTTTAGCCTTAAATAGCTGGATTGCCAAAGATTTTGTAGTGCATAAGTTTCGGTTTGTTTGGTTTTATAGGTGACTTTACTAGGGCGATATGACCATAATTCACGAGGTGTTCAAAAATTGAGCTGTTTGTAAACTCGGACTTTCAAAGTGTTAAGATGTTATTGGTCTGAACAGTCCCCATTTTAACTGTACAAATTACTTCATAGTTTACATTAAGAATTGACCTTTGTTAGGCCCCATATGGCATATCTACAATCTTAACGGAACTGATACCCAGTATTTAACTCGAACCCGTTTCACTCAAATTCACATTCTGAAAAGTTAACACTAAGCTGTTTGGGCTTTAAATAATCTCTTGTAGGACTGAGATTTCTTGTTACCCCTACCAATAATTAATAAATAAAATGTGGAGATAAGAGGTAAATGAAGCGATGTATGATCACTGACTCAATATTATCAGTTTCACAGCACCTCAAATGTATTTAGTTATGTACTAGAGATCAGGATTCTCGTCAAGGAATACTATGTATAAGTACAACCCTTAAAAGTCTATTTCTTATCATCAGAATCCCCTATACATATTCTTCTTGATTTCATCAATAATTATTTTATCTACAGGAAAACAACAATCTAAACGACTTCTTATTTTGATAAGTAAACAACGAAAGTAGTACGAACATCTATGATTACATGCATTGAATGAAACGAGAGGAAATAGTTTTCGAAAATAATAACAATAGAAGAAACAAAAAAGACAAGTTTTTTCATCAAAATTCTTGTTTAACATTCAGTGAATAAAGAAATAAAGAAATGCCAAAGTTACAATTGAACATAGTCGTTTCCTGAGTATTTCCTCTTTTTTATATTTATTGGTGATATTTGAACTGATGATAAGCAATAAACCATGCGGAATAAACTTGTCTATTTATGCATGTATCCCTTAAAAGTATTTTCAACTTGTCTTAGAGATTTAAACTTCGGTAGAGAAATTTATTTAGTTTTTTAAGGTGATCTCTTTGGAATAACATCTGTCGAAATGTTAAAAAATATCCTGACGCATAAAAGCGTTTAGTTTAACTTCGTTGTTTTTTTAATTTAATTTGAATGAACCAATTTTCATAAACCCCGCATTTTAGTAGTACTCACTTGTTCATCGATGCTAAACTTCGATCAGTACTTTCGAAGTCCTAAATAAGAAGTCATGACGGGTGAGATTCAACCGTGCAGGCAATGAAGTAGACAATATCGAAGATCTAATGATGATGATGATATCGTGGATTCAGTGTAGTCGGAAATATATGCATTTGGTTGGGGTTTCAGATGTCTAACGTTCACTTATTCATCACGCGATATCTTAATTCTATAGATGAGACCGTAAGTGAAATCAGTTGTGTATTCAGAAGCTAAAACAAAAGAATTATAAAAAACTTTCCTCAGTTGATAACAGTCTGTAACACAGAAAGCCTAACTTCATATTGAATTGTAATTGATGAGGATTCAAAGGTAATAATACCTTTGCTAAAATTTAAGTTTGACATAGTGTTGATGGTAGTTTAATGTATACATTACACTAACTCTAGTTAACAGTATTGTAAACTTTTATAGAATACTTGGAGATTAATTCAAACAACTGTTTACTTAGACAACACTGATAAGTCCTGGGTTCGAATCTCGCTAGGCGAAATAGTGAATGCGCACTTATGAGGAGTCTCACAATGAGACGAAACGGCCGTCCAGTGCTTCCAAGTTGCAGTCCTAAACATCAATGGCAAGATCCAAACAACCAATACAAAATTGAATTAAAACTTCACCTCATTGCACAAGCTAGTGGTCATCAGGACTCAGTAGCTAAGCGGATAACGCAGTGCCGTCTGAAGCGGACGGTACTGAGTGTGAGTCCCTGAGTGAACACCAACTTTGAGATGCAGGTACATCCAGCTGACGAGTCCCAAACAGGACGAAACGCGCATCAAACTGGACTCCACTGCTTCCACCATCCATCTTCTCTTTGGTTTTGTTTACGACAAGAATTCTGGCAAGAAAGTTTTACTTTAACGAAATTCACGTAGTCCGTAAATGGAATCATTTATAAATTTCATCAAATTAATGTTGGTATAAATTTATAGTGAATTTATTTATATCACTGATATGAAAAGTGAGATCAAAGATTTTAACTACTTATTAACTCATGAAAGTAACCATTTAAACACATTGCCATTGTTCACTTCAGATTTATTATATTTATTGAATATCGATTAGTTCAGTTAACTAATTAAGTTGCGTTTGTAAATTGTAATGAAGCCAAAGAGAGATTAGATACGAGGGAATAGGATGTTACTGGTAACCGCGTATCTTTCAGTGAAATGACCAGAAAGCAAATAAGAAAGAAGACGATGATGGTTGGTAGGACAGCCGTGTTCTATTTCACTTAGAGGTAGAGTAACGTGAGACTTCTAACTGGGTCTCTAGAGCAGATTGTGGAGTGGTCTGATGTTAATGCATGTCCATGCACCTTCAGGTAGCTGGTGTTTTTATTCCAGTTATATTCCTAATCGATTTGGACAATGTGTTTTAGAGCACCATGTGTAGTTTAAAGACTCCATTCCCTAATTTGCAATGATGTGTGAACGTTCTTACAATTAAATTACTGATAAACTGAGTAACAGATATCGAGACAATGTCGAATCTTTATTTGGTCCTAAGCTACAATTTGTCTTGGAGGCTAATGATACTATCCGATTATTCAAACGAAGTAAATGAACAGGTTTCGAGTCTCCTACCTATTTGTTGAATTCTAAGTTCTCCAACCAACTGCCCATCCCTTAATTATGGTTTGGTAGGTAGGTACAAACAACTTTTTAATACAAAAGTTTTACTTAGCTAAGGTCTAAACAAATTAACATATCAGCTTCAAATAAACAGCAGACCAACATCGCAAAGCTGTTTTCAGTTAAATCCTATGATCCGTTTCGACGATATGTTTGACAATAGAAAAGGATGAGCATTTATCTCGATTCATGAATAAGTCACATTAATCACATAAACTATCTCGCTGATGTAACACTTTTTATATTTATTTTGACAGATTATCTATCTGAAACTTATCGCTATATATATATAATTTTTGTTTTCACTATGCAGGTTGAAAGTCTATTACCTCAAGAACATCCGGCGTGTAGGCGTTTACATCATGCTGGTTTATTGCATCCAGATACTCCAGGTAGTCAGTTAGCTGTCTTATGGTTGGAACGAATACATCGTGCTATGCAATTGCATGAAACTCAACTAATTGACACATCTAACCTTATTCACGTGCCATTGCATTCTCCCTTTCTGGAATGTTTAGCCAAACAATCTGCAAATAATATCTCTCCAACTTATTATCCTTTGAATCCATTGCTACAAGATCAAATGGAAGTATGTTTAAAAAAGTTTTTTTTCTTAGATTCAACTAACATTAAAAGTGAAACTTTGCGATAAACTAATGAGACGATTTAGGATACTCTAAATGTAAGTATAAATCTACCTTTTGTATACCTGATTAGATGGAAATTCGATATAGGTTAATCTACAAGATTTTTACTACCTAAAATAATTGTAAGATTATTGAGATTATTAAGACATATTCGAGAATGGACGATGGAATGTTAAAAGCAGTTACCAGTGACATATACTTTTGAAGTCCTCTTCCCCGTTTATCACTCTAAACATTATTGACCTTCCACTATATATATAGCTAGCTATATAATGAGAAAATAAAAAGAATGCAGTGAAAGGTTTAGTGCTAATGCCCGAATGTGTTTATATACGTATAGGTAGCCAAACGTACCCAGATATGGAATTATTGTGATCATCTTCACAAGGTGAATATTTCAATTACTTAAAACAACCTGTTTATACTTGTTATGAGATCTTGGGAAGTTTCGTGATCTGTATTCCTTTGTCAAAATATCAGGATTTCATACGTAAAACATGATCAAATAGTCTAAGCCGGTGTTTCTGTGTAGTTTGACTTCATTTATCCAAAAACAATCTCCGTCTCTGACAAAAGTAATTCTTCCAGCATAGTCTGAGTATATATGGTATATGTTTTGTGTTTTTCAAATGCTAAATGATATTTATGTAAAGATCTTGTCTGACTCTCGGGAAATGAGTGTCTCCCAAGTTTTCTCTATCAATGATAAGTAAGACTACTATACCACCGGCTGTTAGCGACCAAGTTAAATTGCGATAGCCGAAGTTAACCGTTAGGAAAAATTTAAAATGCCATTACTTGTTGCTGAACGTCACGATTTCGACTTTATTTCGTATTTTGAAAGGACTGAATGATGATATTCATGTGGAATGAAGAGTTCTGATTAGGTTGCTAGGATTAGGAGTTAGTGTTGGGCGGGGTTACAATACTATGATTTCGAATAGTTCGCCCCAATAAGTTCATTAGTCGCGTTAAATCTGAATCCTTTATAATTTTATCACTTTTTGTGTATCAAAATTCTTCTACATCGGTTACATCATGATTGTCTAATTTTGATCAGTTAATCTCAAGGTCACTTGTATAACCACTGAACGCCTTAATATAGTATAGTTCTACTCAATGATATACTGGACTGCAGCAAAATAAACCATGTATATATATACGATTTATGAGGCGAATATTTGATTATTTTTGTCATTTTCTTCAGTCATACTTTTTCTCCATTTTATTTTATTCGTGGTCATAAACATTCCTACAGTAAATTAATCGTTATCCTAATTTCTAGGCAATTTATTGTTATCATTTTGTAGAGTTATGCTCTTTACACAAAGTAAACCGCATTGGTATCTACTATAAATGCGTTATTTTATTTCCATGTCACTTTTATATGTATATTTGGTAATTTTAATTTTTTCAGGTGACACATTATTTACCTACACATGCGCTTGTTTTTCTGCTTAAAACTAACAGACCAGATACTGACATTTATTTATGCCTAATTGTTTTTCCTACAACTTAGTTGATGTTAATCCATTTGTATTGGTCATTCTAATCTTCCCACTGACTTTTAGGATTGCAATTAATTAGTCTCTTTTGACTCATGTACATCCTCTGCAGATTGCGTCGATACTATTAAACCACAAACACTTTTTAAGCAGAGATAGATGATGTTTGACAGTAGAACCAAAGACGCGCGTTTCATCCTCTTTAGGATTCGTGAGCTGGATGTACCTGGTTCCTAGAGTAGATGTTCACCTCGAAATTCGTACTTAGTACCTTTCACTTCAAGTAAAAACATACAAGACTCATATATACAGAAAAAGGCTTGCTAATTCCAATCCTAAACGCCAGTTGGAAGATTCGGACAACCCAAACAAATGAATTAAAATTCACCCTATTGCATAAGCTAGTTTCTACTTAGATTTTGGATAACGCGTTTAGGTTTGTACCAAAAAAATACCTGATCCCGATCTCGAAGTGAACACCAAGTTCGAAATGCAAATACATCCCAAACAGAACCAAATGAGCGTCCTAGACTCCACTGCTAACCACATTCCAGGTCTGCTTAGAAAGTAGTTGATGTTATTTTTTCCCCAAAAATCAAATGTTAATGTTTATTTTTAAAGTAATTCGGCCCTTATATTCCTATCGTAATAATTTATATGTATGTGGTGAAATTAAGTAAATTTTATTATAACAAAAGTGAAATATACATCTTATCGTAATTCTTCCATTTTTTAACTTAGTTTTACACGTTTACGTTTTCCACTGTCTCTCATCCTTTAAACACGATAATTCACTCGGCTTGTTCCAAATCGGAACCAGAATCAAGTAGGAACAAAGTATATTCCAGTAAACCTAAACGCAAAATATGCAGTAATAAAAGCACTACGGTTTATATTGAGTTTACATGATAATCTTACAGTATCTTCCTAATTCGTCTGCTTGCTCTGATTAGTTGGAAATTAGATATCAGCTTTCTCAGATTTGAGCATGCAACTATTCAACTTGATTTAGAGCTAGATGACTTAGATGCAGATACTATTTATAGTTCTTAACGAAATTTAATCCATCAACATTAATAAAGCTTTGTCCATTTATAACATTAATTGTTGTTAGGTTATTCTAAATAACTCTGTTCTCAATTATCCTGTTTCCTAATGATTGATTGGATAATGTCCCACAAACGAGTAAGTAGATCAATCAAAATATCAGTTTTTCCATTCATCTTCTCACATAAATCTGTTTAAGTTCAAGTGAATTTGAACTGTGAATGAGTTGAAACTAGTACCATCAATGTCATGTGCTAATATTTACGCGAACAATAAATATGTATCTTACCATCAATGCAAACCAAAAAGTAAGATGATTTCAAAGTCATTATATTACAAACGCTATTCATGTTCTCATAAGAGTATTCATGTATGTTTCATCGTTCTTATTCACTTTTGTTTTAAGCTTACGGATACAACTCTAGATCAGTTGATCGCATTATCAAATGTGTTATCATTCAAGTCAAAATCTCAACATGGTCGTTTTAGTCAATGTCAGGTGACTACATATGATACTAAATCACCGGAGTTATGGAATTGGAACATTTTAACCTCATTAGGCCGTCATTTAGCTGTAACTCGATGCACATTTTCTTGGGAATCAAAATCACATATGAAGTACGTATAGACTACTACTAATTATTTAGTTTTTTCTTGTTTTATTCCTGAACCAATCTCTATGTTGACGAGAAATATCTAGTTATAAGTTACATAAATATTAATGAGTTAGAGAATTATAGTTTCTTGTATAAAACGTGTGAAAATGCTCGGACTTAGTTTTAAACATTAACCCTTTTTAAGCTATGAAAAATGATACAGTAGACTAGAAATAGACGTGTACTGCTAAGTAGAAGAGCCCCATGGACTAAAGTATTCTGTCTAAGTGTGTCATACCTTGTATCAGTCCATGGATGGCAAAAAGGTTTAAATACGTTAAAACGAACAGGGAAATGAGCAAATATAGTGTTTTGGTTTGTTGGCCGGTAACGCAACTATTATGTTATACCTTGCTCTACAAAAATTCGCTATACTGAATCTACATTGTTGTTTTATGATCATAATATGAAGTTTTATCGGGTGGATAATTTGTTCATCGTGCTTTTCATATTTCTGCTAAATGATGTCTGGGATTCTGGTGGCTTCCATTTGTAAGCCTTGAAATTATGAAACAATCCACTACTTGAATTCATCGCGTTACAGATGAATAATAAAATGTTTGCTATTATGAAATAGCACTTTATTAGGAACAGTCGATTATATTCGGATTTTCTAAGCAGTGTCGATAAAAATCTGTGATCCATCTAATTGCTTTTTTGTACTGCCTTTAAAAATTCGTTCTGGGTCTTGGGTATCTTTCTTGTTTTGTGAGATTATGAATGTTGAGATATTCAGGAAAATATCCCAAAAATTATTCTATTAAGTCTAGTGCTATTCTTGGACTTGAGATGATATCATTTTCCTATTGGACAATATTTATTTCACGTGTCAAATGTTATTTTCTATTTTATGGTACGATGTGGTCTGCTTGATTGGTACATAAACTCAGTATGCTTGAAATATAACGATTCATATCTCAGAGGCTGAGACTTGCGTTCTGGACTCAACTGGCTGGGCTAGACAGGGAGGCGGGACCAATCAGAACTCTAGGCCGTTCTTTCGTGTTTACGCGTCTTTGGTCCGATCGATAAAACGCTGCGCTCTAATCTGCTGCTGTTAGTCATAACAATGAAGTGTATCGTATTGTCGCTCAGTGGACTAGACTTTTGATTTTTGTTGCTTTAATCACTAGTTTTGAGTGTGCTTCATTTAGTTTGGTTTGGAAAGCTGATTACTGTTTCAGGGTCAACATATTTACCAAGTTCGCATTCGTCTACTTTGTCTTCAAGTCACATTTTTTTGCGTGATGACTAGTGATACTACTCGTGATGCTTTTATTGAAAGATTACATCCTTAACCACTAAATCACCATGTTGAATTACAGCTTAGTATACAGGATATGTACTTGGTCACTGAGTCGTACTAACGATTAGAAAACAATAGGCTATTTGAAGGTTACACATATTTATATATATATTTTTTAATTTAATCTAGATTTCTAAAAGCAGTCATGGAGTTTTTGATACCAGATCAGACATGCAGAACAGGTATATCAGATTGCAAAACTGAAAAATGCTTTATTCCGAATTCTCCTCCAGTAGTGTATTCTTCTATTCCAAGTAAATCTATGCAGTCATCGGATGGGCTATTACCAGTTGATGGACTTCTGAATGCAATCAGTGATAATCGTAATTTTGTGCTACAAAGTGTAAATACTTTGAACGCACACGATAATACTGATCATTTATTAGTATATTCTCGTGAGAAAAACATGTCTGATATTAATGCTACAAGTACTATCATGAATAATAATTCTAATACAAGTCGATCGAATTATTTAATCAATCCGAATGCCAATTTCAATTTAGCTTGGCTTTCATATAATTGGCCTCATGCTTCAGCTGCTGGAATTTTAGCTGCTGGATTAATAACACATTTGGCATACTATCCTCCAGTACGTTTACACTGCTCTGTTTAACGTTTCCTACAAATATGTTTTGTTTTGGAGATAGTAGATAAATAGATGCTCTGGTTATGTTACAAATTTATTAATTTAATTAATTAATACAGATAAATACTGGTACAATAGAGCACCGAAATAAATATGCGACACACAAATAAGGAAACTTGATTGTGGAGAGATAAATGAAGTGGGGAGTAAGGAATAGAATCAGAAAGAAGTGAATGAATAGCATAATATGACTAGGAAGAATACTTTCAAATAAAGAGGTTCCTTTTATTTATTTATTTTGAAGACTACTAAACGACATTACAGCAGGATCTCCATCAACCTCCGTTCTGAGTCATGCCTGTTGACGTCTCAACCCACTGTGCTGCACAATCTCTAGGACCACAACTAGATAGTCGTGAAGGACCGACAGATCCCAGTCCTATACTGTTTTCCTCCCTTACCACTGCGTCATGCCATGAACTGATCACTTATCACCCTTTTCCAACCAGTCCCAGAGTCGGAAAGTAATCAACAATTTAGAATTCACTGGGGTTGATATTCGTAATATATGTTCAAGCCACGGAAGCTGGTGTTTCGAGATGTTGACACCAAGTGAGTTATCTTCACTGCACCCAAATACACATCATTAAACCTCCGTATTGGTAACAAGACGTAACTTCCGGACGTCAGCTATCTTTCGATGACAACGATGATGGGAAACAAAGTCACCGAATATCTTCAACCCAGAGGTCAGTGTTTTGTAGGTATAGAGCAGGATCGCTCTCACCGAAATGTTGTAACGTCAACTTTTTAAAGCCAGACTAACATCACAATGGGCCCAAAGATGACCCAGATTGGTGTAAGCTGCTTTACCTCACATTATACGTAGCGTGATCTCACTTGCCACGCCACCACCAGCACACACACAGCTGCCTAAATACACACACTTTCCGACTACTTCCAAAAACTCATTACAGAAAGTAACTGAAGGCTCAAGCTCCTACCAGCCTTGCAGAAGTACTTTGCCTCTAAAAAGTGCTAGTCACGGGCCGCACTCACAAGTGAGATTTGCATAACTTACCAATTTATATTGGTATTCAACTCAATTGTATATAAATTAAAAATACAATATGCAAGATATATCTTACCGAAATAAGACTATTAGGTAAAAGTTGTGTACACTCTGAGCGATTCAGAACTGTAATCAACGACAGAATAACAGCTTCGTGAATACGTGATGAATGATATGTATGCATTGTACTATTATTGAACACAAATGTAGTCATTAAAGCTTGAATTATAATTTGTCCAATGAATGGAAACAATAACAGTAACTTTTCTTTGATTCCATTATCAATTGAAACGTTCAACTTGTTATTATCATTATTATTATTATTATAATAAAACTGTCGATGATTGTTGGCATGATCGACATCATGATGATGACAATAATAGTAGTGGTAATAGTAATGGTAATAATTGGAATAAGATAATTTAATTTTCGAATGATTAACAATTGAAGGATTTGTGCGTACAACTAGACGTTCTAGGGCTAAAATAACTAGAAAAAGAGAAGACAACGATTGTTAATTATTTGCAAATAAAATATATTCAAGAAAAAAAGGATATTTTCCTGTTGTTTATGAAACTAGAATTAATTCATCAAGGTCACACGATATTTAACTTATTCGTTCATTTGTCAGGTGCAAATTGGGGTATCTGGAGTTGAGCTACACTCTAAGTATGATGGGCTAGTGATATTACCCGATTGTTCAAACCGAAATACATGCATTGGGGTTCGAGTCCACGATTAGGTAGATGGAAGTTGAACATTTTAACTACTGAGCCATCAGTCTATCACTTAAACTAAAGGCAATACAAATAAAAAGATTATTTAAAGAGATGAATTGCATAGTTGAAGCACTTGATATCGGATCACTGATTCACCTTAATCACTTCGGATTACACAGTTAGATGATAGCAACACTCTATGGAACTATTGTGGTTCGAAATTAAACCCGTCATTAAAAAGTGATATCTTATCATGAACCAAAGACTAGAAAATGCTGCTAACTACTACAACGCTGAGTAAACAGTCAAGAATTAGGCCTGATAGTCAAGTCATTATTCCACTGATGGGTGACCGATCGACAAATCCGAGTCACTGTTTTACAACCACCTTTGTCTCAGATGACACTTGCTAATATTTGTTGTAATAATATTCAATACATAACGGTATAATTTTTTTAAAGAAAAAGCCTTGTTAGCTAATCAATTGTAGTTTATTACGACCTTAGTTTACGTTTGGTGAGTTGTGTTAACAATTAAGCCTGAGGTATCGTTACGATGTGACCACATGATCTAAACTGGAAATCAACAATCAGTTCGTTTAAAAAATAATAAATCCCGAAATTCAGCCCAGAATAGTAACTTAATTGTTAAAGTACACAACATATGACGAATATCTTGAGTGTACATGCTCAAGGTGGCTTCAAAAAGTGCAATCTACTTTAGTGACTTCCTAAAGTATCAGTCAGTCAGTAACAACATAGAACTTCGTACGTACATACATCAGTTCGAGTTACCGTACCACATTAGCACAGAGATACAATTGTCGATTCAAATCTCATAGTAGTAGAGGTACTAAGAGTATAAGCAGTAATCCGAAAGATTAGGGTTTGAAGGTGTTATTCAAGGAGTATAATACAGTGAAATAAATTTGGAAAGACAAAAAATGGACACCAAGAATTCAGAAGATTAGAATTTGGGAGAACACAAAGAGTGGATGCACCTGCTCCATTGCAAACGATTTGGGGCCATGTCATTCACGGTCTCTAACCATCGGTCGCTATCATCTCGCGGACCCCAACCAGGTAGTCTACACCTACCAACATGGCTCAGTCCACTTGTCAGTGACTTCATGGACTTGTGCCATGTTTTGGTCTAGCCACCCCTAGCTTTCTTCCAACCCACTTCTACAACAGAAAGAATCGCACGTCGGGGCAGTCAGTGGTTGAGCATACATACATTTACTTCTGAGGTACGCCTCTCAGTGTCAGACACGGCTACAGAATCTTGTGGTCTACAGAGTCAAATGCTGCTTTTAAGTCAAGAAAGACGCCGATAACTTATAGATTGAACTAAGTATAGTCTCTGTATTTTGTAGTATTTACAATTTTCTCTTAATTTTTTTTCACAAAAATCCCAATGGAAAAATAACAATTTCCTTACAATCGACACTATTATTATTATTATTACTACTGTTATTATTATTATCATAATAATAATAATAATATTATTATTGTTATTATTCAGTTTTCAATTTCTTTTATTCTGATTTACTATTTAGGCTAGTGAACCATTTCAATACTTGGATCGTTTTTTAACTGTACTCCATCTATGTTTAAAATATGTACTCAACAAACAATCTAATGAATCATTAATCGGTCATAATGATAATAATAACGGTAATAATAAATCAATAAGTCAGAAACTTTCGCAAGACAGTAATAATAATCCTAACAATAATAATAACACTAATATGATATTAACATTCCATCCAAATTATTTGGCTAAAAGTTGTGGTGGTCTGATTTTATTTGCCGCATCACGATTAACCAACTCTGAAGTCGGTGAATTACGTTTGGAAAAAAGCGATCTTTGTTTAGATTTCCAGTGTATTTTAATGTTTCCTAGTCAATTGAAAAAAAATTCCAATACATATACTGAAACTCACTGTAATGATACGGATGATAAGCGTAATCAACAATCCATTTTTTTAAATCATGCGAAAATTATATTGTCTAGTCTAGATTATACACATTCTACTAAATTGAGTCGTTTGCTCTTGACAACTGCTGTAAATAGTGGTATAAAGGTTAGTCATAATTTGTCGTTTTATTTTCTTTGTTCTTCCAATGAAAAAAATACTATGTATATTTCAAAATATAGAAAAATATTCTCTCACAATAATAGAAAGCAGCTGAAATTGATAAAAACCGACCTTTATAGGTCATTAGTCGATGAGGTAGAACTTTTTCTACTCCAGATTTTGGTCCTTGCTACTGCTTGATCGAAATAGTCTTATTGGATAGTTTAAGCTGAGCTGAATAGTGGTTTATAGTGGGATTCAGGATGCATGCTTCATTCAATTTAAGACTCGCAAGCTGCGCGTACATTGACCTGCGTTGATATTCTGTGTTTATATGTTGTTTGAACAAGATGATTAAATATTTAAGCTGAAAGTCTCGATTGATTGAAGTGCAAGTGAACCACAAATTCGATTCTCTGCAATCACTTACGACGTTTGATCATGTTCATATTATAGTTATTGTTGTTTCGTTTGAAAAAAAGAGCTTATTGTGTTAAACAGGTCTTTTTTTATATTAGTTCAGTTTGTGGGTTTACTTCAGTTGTTCAGTCTGGTGAAGCGCAGTTACCCGGCAACATTTTATTTCTGCATATCATTTGTTGAAAGGCGTTCTTTGGTTTCACTTTAACAATAAAAATTCCTTCGATCAAATCATCAATCCTACTTTACTACAGCAGTATATTTCTCATGTTATTAGTTATTTGCAAAAAAAATAAATATGAAATTCATGTTGATGATTTGCGTATAGATGACATTGTGACGTAGACAAAACACCATAGTTTTAAGTTTGCACTCATTCATTCATCCAATGTTATAGATAATTTCTAATTACGACTTGCATTTCAAAATCCAGAACATTATACTTTTTTCAAATAAATGAATAATATAAGCATTTATTCATGTTTTTTATCGTTTCTTCGCTTTTAGCCTTTACGAATTTATACAATTCGTTTGATTCGTCTTTTATTTCGTCTGAAACTGCCGTTTCTAGCAAGTTGGTGTATAGATTTAGTTGTAAAACTATGCATGGATCCATCAAACAAAATTCGTCGTTTAGCCTTATGCCTATTAGAAGTATGTGTACTATGATTATCTGTATAATATTTCTTGGCTGTTTATCCTCAGCTTCCTCAATGTTCAATACATATGTCGTTACCAGCTTTTCTCAGACATTTTCCCGTTTATTTAGAGGGTGAGTGTTGCATATTAGAGTGTAATTTGCATTTAATCTTTCTTTTCAAGCCCTAACTTTATATTTATGTTTTTCATTCGGCTTGCTGAGCTGCACTACACTAACATATAGAAGACGGAGATAAATCCAAACGCTTGAAATAAAAATTTCACTGAAATATGCAACACACCCGCTAAATGAATGGGAAATTGACTAAAAGTGCTGGATACAACTCATTTATTGAGCATTTAGGACGTTGTTGATATTTTAATTGTTTTTATAAATGTAAAGGATTGGACAACAAAAGATTAAGAGTTTAGTGGTTATTCCTTAAAAATTTATTTAGTTTGTATTTATTTTAAAGAGAATTTTAAAAATCAGTTTATTGTTTCTATCGAGTTTTCATGTAACTTTAATTGTAGACTTACAGAGTTCAAAAAATAACTGTCAGTTTACTGTGCTTGTATTGTCATGCAGTTCTGTATCAAAAATATATTGACTTTATGCGTTGTATTTTTGTTTGCATAATATTATGAATCAAAATATTGAAGGAGTTTTGTTTATTCTTTCTGGCTTTATAGAAGAACAAGTAAAGCGATAAATACATAGAGTGGCGGCCCAACCTAAATAATCTTTAACATTATGGATCACCTCGGCTTTTATCTATATGTCTTCTTTGTGTAAAGTAGGTTATATCAACCTTACAAGTTGAGCTGTTTGTCCATGCATCTACAAGTATTATACTTGCCTGGCTTACAAAAAAGAGTCCAAATCAAACAACTTGATCCTCAAATACTTCAATAGGAGTCTACAACATTAGATGGGATTATGTATCATTTCAGTGTTCAGTATATGTCTAGAAACAACATGTTCAAGCCCTAAGGTTTTAACAACCCTAACACCCCGTCTAAATTGATTTATAGTCAGAACAATTGTTCTTTATTTAAAGGTATGGTACTTAGTCTTCAACTACCAGTTTTTTTTGTAGATTTCAGTATCATTTTAAGCTTATTTACTGACCTGGGGAACTAAGCAGTACCGCTAGCCACCATTCCGAATCCGTCAAGCAAGTGGACAAGGTGTACGTATTACTAACTACTAACCTTCATTTATATTTCCTTCTATCTCAAACCAGTTGAACTGCCAAATGTAGATTTTTTTGTGAATTCTCTCTTGTATATGTACATTTCATTAAATTTGATTCACTGTGTTCATGTAAGTGTTTAATAACTTTTATTACGTTATCTGTGTAATTTAATACCCCTTTTCTTTTAAAAGAATATAATTTTAATAACATTCAAAAAAGTCAGTAACCCTTAGTGATCTATTGTAGTCTGAAATCATGCTCTTCACTACAAAACCAAGACGTGCTTCCGGTACGTGAAGTGATTGCCTGATCCATGTAACTACGTGAGACTACTTCGTTTGGGTCTGCGCGATTTTCGTATTGATTGGAAACTGCATGTGAAACTGCTCAGAATCGGTTGCAATGACGCAGATGCTTTCACTCTATATGTTTTCTTAGATCTTCAGACTTGAAATTATCTTATGTTCTGCAAATTCATTGTTCTAAAACCATAATAATATTTTATATTACCACTAATATCGTTACTACTTCTACTCTGCTATCTCTCTTGATAATTTCATTTTCTTGTACTGATATAGTGTAAGAGCTTGGACTGATACCGATATGTGACAGGTTGTTTATGGCTTACTGGAATGATATTCGTTTATAATTTCTCCTTTAATTTTTTTCTGTTTTTTATCAGGAATTATGTTGGGATCCTGTAAATGTTCAGGCTTTATCGCAAAATATTCTACATAACCAAACCAATGATGACAATAAAAATGTTTGTCAAAAAAACTTTTTAACACCATTTGCTATTTATTTATTGCATGGTAATACCGGTCCAATAGGACATAGAATATTTGGTAGAATTCTTTCTATCACGACTATATTCGATAAACTGTGCATGAATCATATTACTTGGAGACAACCAAATTCATCATTTCTTCATTGTGATGACGGTCGTTGTTGTACACCGCAAACAAATAAGAATATGAATTGTTCAAACTCATGTCTGTCTTGTAATGAACTGAATAGTAGTAATAATGATAATAACAATAAATCCGTGTTAAGTGATCCAGTGAACTGGATGTTAGATGTTGCACGAAAGGTAAGGTTCGAATGGGCAACATTTAAGTTTCTTGTTTATAACTCTTTATAAAATTATATCCTTCGGGTCAACTATGGTCCCGTGGGTGTGTTATACCATGGATTCTTATTACATACAAACTCAATAACTCACCGTTTGATCATATATTGGATGCTAGTTGTATTAATATTATATTTCATATTTTTCATTGTATAATTTCATTTATATATCCTCTTCTGTTTTACGTTCCCACTTTTCAATGACCTTCTTTGTGAGGCGATCTGCGTTACCGCAACTTAAAAAGATACATAGTTTTATTAGAACTGAAACTATGTATTACTTAAGTTGTTCATTTGTATTCCGTCTCGATGGTCTGGTATGTTGTTGAAAGACCATGTTATTGTAGAAAAAACACTACTTTGGATTTAAATCATTCGAACTTATGATTTTTACTTGGATTGACCAAAAATACACATTAACTGCTGATAAGAGTATGTTTTCTGTGTTTTATGATTTCTCATAGATTGTTTGAGTGATAATAATTACATCCGTACGCAGTGAACTTTTAAACTGACAAACGGTATATATATATTTCGTTGTATCGTGAGGTAATCAATAGAGGACAACTATTTAGTATAATAGATTACTCTGTCTTACTGATTCTTTATAAACTGTAGTCTTCAACATTGGAACAAATATCAACTTCTGTGGGACATAGATTTGTTGTGAGGTTTTTTATACTCTTTGATAGGGTAGTTTCTTCCTACCAGGATCTTGATAATCGTCTTGACCTGTGTATGCTACTTATGTTGACAGATATAAGTAGTATGTAGCACCATTCGCAAGTGACGAGCCGGTGAGAGGAAAATTGAGAAGACTGAAATGAAGAAAAGAGAGGAGAAAACTAAAAGCAATCAAGATGACAACAGGAATGAAGGAACAATGAAGGTTGCACTAAACAATTCAAAGAAGATATGCGATTGATGTTCGCAATGTATGATTTTCACATTTTACTAAACCACTGTGTGATTTTGCATTAAACAATAAGCCGATTATCCCCATCAAGTATTTGTTGACTACTGGGACTATGAGAAAAGGTCTTAAGTCACTTGATTTTGTAGTGTGGTGAAGCGTTATCGCTATTATCCTATCCCCGTTAACACTGTTATGAGTTAGGATCTAATAAGTGAATGAAATTTGTAATTGTTAAAATAAAAGGATCATGTCTGGTTGATAAATGAAATTCAGTGATACGATGTGGTAGAGTGGCTACTGTAAATGGGACCGAATTATAGACGTTTCCACCAAATGCGCTGATATCAAACGACATGATAACTACTTAGTAGAATGTTCTATATTATAAAAGTATACTAATAACTGTCATTATGAATTGTTTTAATAATGACAGTAGTCTGAATAATTCAAATTGTACCTGTCTGTACATTTCTGACTTGATTTTAAGTTGTATCTTTTCTGTTAATTTAGCTTAAATTTGTTTTTCAATGATTAGCAATCTGTTTTCAAATCATTCATTTTTTATTTTCTGTTTAAATCAGACATTTTGTTCTCAATAAATCAAGTCAAGAGGTTTTCTAGCCATCAGTGCTTCTGGTTCATAGCTTTATACACTAAACTGCACTAGGCCATTGTGTTACATACAATCTATGTGGTGTCATTTCGCACTTAATATATTTCACTAATACCTTTGCTGGTTTTTTAACGCATTAACATTGACTACCTTTTCACTTAACGTTTAATGAAGCTGATATTTTGTAGTTCAGAGTGTCTTCTGTATTTCCAAGTGTTTAAAATAGTTATTAATACACACGTGAAGATTATAGCAAATTAAGTAGTCTATTGTTAGTCATTGTTTGATAATACCTAGATTGTACATTTACTTTAGGCTTTGAATGTTTCGATTAGTACGCTTGCTGTTTTTAAATGTTTCCTAATTTCGTGACTAAGCTTGTGTTTGTGTTATTTCGATATAATAGATTCTTGTATTGTTTTCCAAAAAAATTTAAAGCGAGTAGATTGGTAGATTTTTTAGAGTTACTTCTACCTGTTTGTTAACACATATCTCATTTTTACTTGGATATTGAGCATACTTAATACTACATGTTTATTATTATTCGTGGAAGTGATGCGAAGCAATTTGGACAATTATATTACGTGGTAGTAACGTTATAAATTAGATGTAATTAAGATTGAAAAACTTAAGAAATCATACGCGTAATTAAGTTGGAGGCCAGGATAATAGACTATAAATACGTTTTCTTTACACATAAATTGGTTTCGTCAATATGCGTTCTTATGACTTCTGTTATATATGGTAGAGAAATTCTAAAAGCATAAGACAAGTTCAACGGATAACTCTGAAAGCTAATTTTGCGTCTATTCTATGGGTCAGGTTATAGTTCGGATGTGCTAGAATAGAGTTTCCTATTATTTTCTTTTATTATTCCCTAAACTTGAATTTATGTAATAGCTATTTCCTATTTATAGATAATGTATTAATGTTTTAAACATATGTTTTATCCTTGTTTTTCTTTGTCGAAAGCACTACAATTTAGCTTATGCAAAAGAAATGGATGATCGGTTTACTTCGTTGTTTGTTACATATGGAACGAAATTACTTTCGGGTACATCTTATAAGTCAACAAGTTTCACATCTTTTGATTCAGCAACAACGAACTTACAAATACTGTCACCTTTACATTTTAATACCAATACTGACGATGAAAATAATGATGATGAAGAAAACAGTGAGAGAGTTGATCGACCTAGCAATTCAGAATTTAATTTTGAAGACAATTATTTTACTGAAGAAACTGACTCAGTTTCCGGAACGTATGTATCTCCTCCGTTGGTAAATGATCAATCGATTGATCAAGTTGTTGATGGACATGATAGTTTTCATTGTTTACCGCTTCCAAAACATCTTTATGCATGTATAGCTGAACATCGTAATGGAATCGACTTGTTAGATACAAGAAAGGATTTAGAGGTAAATTATGTGCATTTTATGTACTAATCTTTTTAAACCTTTTCATGTGATTATACTATTCTTAACACACACACACAATTATTGTTCTGATTAATATATTTGCATACTTGACTTCGAGCCATACTTCAAATGTGAGAAGTAATAATACTACATGTTTGACCAAAAAATAACTAGATGGAGCGGGGTGGGAATCGGTGATTATTATAACTCGATTAGTTCATCAGGATTGTCAAGTTCGATCACTACTTTAAGGTTAACTTTCAATTTGTAGATTTCAATTTCAAACTGTGATCTGCCTGCTTCAGCCGGATAGTGTCGCTCACCCTCATACAACTAAAGTATAGCTCAAAACCCCGTATACATGAATCAGTGCTGAACAAATGATTATCATTATTATTATTATTAAATTAAACTGATAAAGAAAGTAATTCATGTTTTAGATATATCTTTAGTTTCTAAGAAAACAGCAAAGCAATATTGAATGTAGATTTTCCATACTGCTTTTTATATTTTTTCCATTTTTTCCTGTGTTGTATATATTTAGGTATCTTTATAAAAGCTTGTTCTCATAAACTAATATTTCTCTGTTATGATTTAATAGATCCTATAATGTGTTGGTTTTGTTTTTTCTTCTAATAATCGTAGACCGCTGTTGCTAATATACGTTCTGTTTTGCCTCAAATAATCAACGATAAGTATGAAGAAACAAACACTTATAATGATACTAATTCCCTGTTAAAACTTAAAGCAGATATGTGGGCTTTAGCTCATACCTGTTCAACATCTTACGGACAATACTGGTTATTAAGACATCCCGAACTGATGACATTATTAACCAGTCTTGCTTTACACTCCAATCTAATGAACATCAGAGCGTAAGTTAACATTTAAAGAAATGTATAAATTAATTTCTTATTATTGCTATTGATACGTTTCCCCCCTTCAAAATCTATGTATCTGGAAGATTAAAATACAACTTAAACATCAAGTTTATGTTTACATAATACATTTTCCATTAATATAAACATTGTATAAAAAAGCTAGAAATACTAATCAGTTATGTAAATTAAAATATTTCATTGAATTAATTTTGAGTACCTTGATCTCTTTAACTTAAACAACAATCTTCTCTTTCAACTTTAAAAACGGTTATCTCTGAGTTATTTTTCTATTTAATGTTGTTATTGTGACTTTGTTAGGACGGGACAAAATTAGTTATCACGTTTTAATTTATTGCAATATTCATTCAGTATCGCATTCAACATTCATTTCATCCATTCAATTTAAGCTATACTCAATATATCGTTCAACTACCAGTTTTCATCGGGTTATATCATAACCTGATAACATTACTATTTTTAAATGGTTACACCAATTTAGAAAAAGTTTTGATTTACTGTTCTTAAGGAGTTTATTTGAAAAAAAATCCTCTGATATTCTTTCATGTACATATGTACTGATATTAAGTTTAATTTCAAGATGAGAGTATGCGATATAATTTTTGGTCGTGTCCCGTAAATAGGATTAAGTCGCTTATTTTTTAGGGAATATGCTAAGTTAGTTACCTATGGACATCTACTCAATAATTTGGTTACCACAGTTAGTAAAGAGAAGTATTAATTGATTTTTATAGAGTAAAAATATGTTTTGTTGCTGAAATTAATTTACTGATTATTATTGATTCACCGGGTTTTTGTGCAGATGCTTCACATAAATTAAGATCGAATCTTTTAGTTAACTGATAACAGTTACGGAGTACCAGTTTGTCTCAATATACAGTGTAGTTTCCAGGTCGAATATACAAACCCTGTGGCATCGACTACTTGTAACTCCACATTAGTCTAGAAAACCAAGACCTCGATATTTGAATTTGAGGATGGCTTTGTTAAGACAAATATCTTAAATCATTGTGGTTCATGTGTTGAAAACCAGTCAATCCTAATGTAGCATAGTGTGACCCTCGTCCAATGTAATCGTTGAGTTGCCATATGATTGTTCCCGATGTAGAACACTAAATTGTTCAGTTATTAATTTAATGTTTTTTGCATTTTTTTTATTAGGAACTCCACATATCTTATTGACTGTGGCTCAGCTTCTCCTCTTTAGCTCTGTTATGCAGGGGATTATGTTCATTTGCTACAATTAGTTTCGTGTTAAAATATTTTGTACTGCATTTTATTCTTCATGTAATTGTATGTTAGAGTCTAGTGGGATTTCTATTAGCGGAATTTTTACCTCCCATTTTGTCATATTCATATAAATCTTGAATTCTAAGAGTTTGTTCACCTTGTTCTTTGAAATTTATCCCAATTTTCACTTTTTTTTCTGTAACCTCTTCTTTTAATATTAGGGTTGCATGGATTTGCTTGAATTTAATTGCTACATCATCAAATCAAATTTTTCGACAAAATAACTGTCTAGGAATCTTACAAAATAACCAATCATCAAAGCACATTAATGATCTTAAGTGCAATGAATCTTTATCCGATTGGTTATTCATTCCTCAAATATTTTATGATAGAAATGTTAAAACTGTCGAAGGAGCTCAAGATGAGATATTGGCCTATCCAAAAATCCAATCACTCAGTGGACAAATGATCCAAACCAAGTCAAAACCAAATCGATTACTTTCTGATATCTTTTCTGTCATTCCTCCAGTCACTAATTTTGGAGCAGAAACTAGTAAGATATATACGATGTATACTGATTCTTTACTCTAGAATTCAATTTTATCTATTTCGTCCTTTCTTTACAATAAAGGTTGGTTTTCCTATCCAATCTAACACCAACTATCATAGAACCATAGAATATTAAAAAAACTGTTACAGAAGCTTCTAAAATATTCGTATGTCAACTGTCTATCTCTCCCTATTTCCGTCTCAGTTATGCGAATAAGTGTTTTCAAACACTAGAACTGATGTGCAAATTAGCAGTTTTCAGGACAATTTGTCAATTATCTGTCATTAACAGGTCACTCTGAGAGAAAACGCAGTTTGGCAGGTAGATAGAATTCATAAAATAATATTGTCAATCAAGTTCAATATATTAACAGAGGCACAGTTTTAGAGAGTTCGATACTGAACAGATAATCATTTGCAGATAAAACTTTTTACCTATGAATAAAAAATAAAATATTTCTCACGAACTAATCATCATACCATTAATCTAAGATTGTGTCGTTGAAAAGAGTTTCTATTCTGGTTATACCTATATACCGATTACTCACTTATATCTCTTTCTGTAGCAATAGTAAATAACAAACAATAGAAAAAGTACTATTAGTAGTCGTTTAATTAGTCGCGTGATGAAAACATACTTTACGTATATTGTTACAATTCTTGTCCCAACCTCTTTTGTGTGTGTGATAAGTATTCTTTAGTGTTGTAAGAGTGAGATTAAACAAACAAAGGACTTGAAAGCCAGTGTAATCTAATTCACGAAAAAATTATTTTCCAATTATTTGGGCAGGTTTAGTTTTCGAAAATTTGATTTACACTTACACGTTTATTTCTGTTAATATAGTCGAAAATTCAGGTGTTAAGCAATATAAGGTGGCGAATTTTCTTTATAGTGCTTCGATTCGTGTTATGCTAATTTGGTGAATTAGTTATGTTATAAAAGTAATAATAGAAAATACACTAAAGTAACTGTCTTTGCGACAGTTGTCTCGTTCTACTATGGAATTTAGCAATGCGCTTCCACAACCCAACCTGCAGCCGACCCCCGGTATGTTTCAGGTCTCGCGATTAACACTTAACCTCTAGACCACTGAGATGAGATTCAATAGCTTGCATGTCTAGTTTCGGTCACTTCGTGATGTTGTACAACTATCTTCCAATACGACTGGCAACTAACTGTGGGACTAACTCTTGTTTTTATTGTATTGTTGATTATTCAGCACAATAATATTTATACTTTACTTTTTAAATATTTTTTTTAAAGAAAATGAAAATCTTCCTCTTAGTACACAAAAGTCCATCAAATCGTCAGTTCGTAGTCAAGTATTTGGAAACTTTAATCGTTCCCGTCAGTGGTTGCATCGTCGTTGGTCACCTAATCATAGACGGCTTTCTCCACCAATTTCTGAATCAAGAGAACATTCGTCATTTCATTTACCGAGTCATCATTTTGTATCATTTGTTAAACCAAAGCATTCAATAAATTCTTTTACTCAAATTGATTCGTTCAGTTATGATGTATCATCTGTCAATATTTCATCTAAGCAACTTTATTCTACATGGACACATCGTGACTGTATTTCACATCGTCAAGTTGTGTAAGATGACTGTTTTTCGAACTTTAAACTTTTGTAACTTTGTTAAAACATGATATACCCAAGTTATTTGTTAGATCATTCGGAAGAAACAATGGATTATTGTATTGTTCCATAGGAGATTTTTAATATTTTAGGATTGTCAAATCTTTTCTTACTTATAAATACCTGACAACGACTGAGTTTCGGATACTGAATATTATATGAGGAGTTTTGAAATTAGTATTAGCACTGGTATTTAATACTCCAGTCATGTTCTTTGTGCTCTTATCAACTTACGAACTTCGTTAAGCACCGTTTTAAACGTGACTATTTCATTAGCTAGAGCTCCGAGTTACGGTACTATCATCATGCGTTAGTTCTGTTCCCTGAGCAATAACGAAATACGTCTTGCCATTTTCGTCTCCCATGACTATCATTCGTAATTTGTTGTTTATACTTGTAAACTAACAGTCGATTTATTTCTTCTTTTCTGGATTTTAACGTTTTTGACGTTTTACTGTGCCATTCAAGTACGCTTAGACTGTTTTAGATTCATAATAATTTTAAACATGTGGTAGATCATTTTATCAGAACACCTCTATTATTGCTAATATTTTGAAATCTCATTTTTATGTGCATCACACCAACACTGCTTAGTGTGTACATGTGTTTTTTACTGAACTGAATTTATCTATATTTGAATTCTCAATCCTCTAGTTATATGATCAAATTTTGTTTGGGTATTGAGTGCAAAGTTTTCAAGTTTTGGTCACTTGTCTGAGATATGCTTGTGATAAATATAACTATTACACATACACGTTTAAACGGTTGATTTTCAACGAAATATTTGACACGTTTGAACCTTTTTCATGTATCGATGCTTCGATATCATTGCCTCTGGTGATTTCTTTCTTAAACCTAGTGTTAGTAATTAGTGGGAATATTTAAGACTCGTTTGTTTGCAGAAAATCATCTGAACATAAAAATTTTTCTTAACCTATCAACACTACAAATTTAGCGGATTCGATTACTAGGATTTAGGTGGTTACATAAACCTCCTTACAATCTAGTTTTATTTCGATCTTATTCGCAATAGTTGTATTTCTCATTTCAAGTTTCAACAACATATAATCTCAGAACATACAGTTATTTAAATATTTTACTATTGTTTTTGAAATAGTTATGCACTACAAATTGCTTTTTAATGACTATATATATATATATATATATATATATATAATTCGACTGTGTATTCAAGTTGAAATATTGCTTGTCAGCGTCTGCCATCGTAATTCGTGCCAAAGAAGTGCATAAAGGTCATGAAGGATTTTTACTCAGAAATTGATGGTCGAGTCAGAAGACACTACCAAAATATTAAGCCGTCTGATCAGAACTGCTTTATGTTACTTCTGAAGCTAATCATAGTGCACGAAGTGGCTGGGCACGTTCACTACTCCATTTATCTTGCAAATTTCATTTGCCCTGTTGAGTTGGTTTAGGATGAAATATTGTTTTAGCCGATGCCATTGTACATCAGCGTGGTCGTTATTGTAATGTCAGTTTTTCAACCAATGATGGGGGGTCTAGTGAGAAGCAGTTATTCTATCCTGTTTTTATGGTTTTGAAGCATGGCCATTAAGAATGGAAGATATTCGTATATTAATATTATTCAACTATAGGTTTTTCAAAGCATTTATCACGTTTCTTAAAACGATTGACTGTGCAATGTTGAGGTTAGACAGTTGGTACTTAGTAAATATAGCAAATCTTTTTCGATTGAGGCGGTTAAGACATGCAATCGTCAATCGCTTCAATAAAAGATATTTGCTTATACAGAAAAAGTTATAGACCGCCATATCAATCGTTGCACCAATCCATGAAGTCATTGACTGCTGTTGTAATTAATGTTTGTAGATGCAAACTACCTGATTGGGGTATGTGTGGAAATCACAATCAGTAGTTGAATACTTTGGGTAATTTGTCTCAACATCTCTCACAACGGCGCAGATGCATTCACTATTCACATTGATTTCGTTTTCTCAATGTTTAGTTTTCCTTTTTATCGTTAGTACTACTCTAAATAATTTGATTTATTTTGTTATTTTCATCTTGTGCTAATCAGGTATGGCAAATCAAGCCAAAGCACATCTGTACCAGGCTCTGTTGATGATGTCTATCCGTCCGTAACTTTAACCTATAAGGTATAATATTAGATTCATAGTTAACTATACTAATGCAGTGAGTACACCTTTATGTATGGTTGTTGCCATTAAATTGTCTACTTTTTGGTGACTGGGTGTCAATGATGATTTGACCATTCGAACATCGTTCTGTTCTATACGAATTATATTTAACTAGTATACAGGGTTTTGAAAACCATTGGATATTATAATTTATATCATGTACTGATTTTAGTTCGGGAACCATTGAGAACCAGTAAGCAACGAACATCTGTTTCGTCCTTGTACGGGACTCTTCGGGAGTGTCCGTTAGGTCCTCGATTTGATCCCCGATTGGGTCGAAGATATGCGCTGCCCAGGAGTCACATACTAGGAGGAAACACTGTTCAGTGCTTCCTGGTTTCGATTTCGGTATAAATTCATTATGACTGTTGTTAAAATTTATGGGAAGGATTATAAATATTTAGAAGTGATTGGTTGAAAAATTCCTCTAATTGAGTGTCCAATGTATATACGAGCACACTTTTTGTTTCCTGTATCAGTTTGTCAATTGGCTGTAAATAATACATTATTGTAATCGGGTTATTCGAATCCGTGTCGAGTAATTTGTTTCGATTGGACGTAGAAATTGACATTTTTATATTACAATTTTATTTTAATATAAACATCCTCTTAGACGGTTGAATTGTTTTCTAAGCCAAAATTTGATTGACGAAATGAAAAGCCACTTCAAATACTTGAATGATACTCGTTGTTAATAAATATAGTGGTAATAATTGGAACTTTATGTTCACAGTAATATAGATTGATTTGTTGATTATCCTAAGGAAAGCATAGCTCACAAACGGAACGGTCGTTCAAATCACTAATAATAAAAATGGATAAGAACACTATCAGAACTACATTTCGAACAATATGATCACACTGCTAGTATATCACATAGTTCTGATAATATTCGTCATCTTGTTACACTATCCAAATTTATCAGAGGAATTTTTTTAAAGATGGATATACCTTTCTTCAAATCAATTTGCAAGAACGTCACGCTATATCGAAGTGAAGCTGAAATAAAAAACAAAACGGTTTATTATTGATTTTAAGAAGTTTGGTTCAGTGGAACATTTTGTGTAATAGATTGAAGTTAGTTCATTGCATTTCGGGAGTACTAATCAGTAATGAAAGACATGAACTCGTTCTCAAACTCCACGCTTCTAAACCCTAGTTAAATTTATGTGAGCTCGTACCTTTTATATCAATCCATATACTTGTTCTTTTATTTCTATATAAAATGTTCTTTTTTATTTTTCCGATCGTCTGCGTTGTTTCTAAACAATATTTCTAAAAGTTAACTATCTACGTGTCTTCATAACGAAGAATGTGGATCTAAATGTGAAGGTGTTCTAGTAGTTAAAACACTCAAATTTCAGTTAGTGAGTCACATGTTTGGGTGCTAGTACTCTTATTTTAGGTAGTTCAATATCATGACTAATCCTGAGATAAAAAATATGTGGTTCTAAATACAGTACACAGGTTTTTACTTGGCTGACATTAATATCTACTTGAATAATAATAACAAACACATGGTAGAAAATATGTTTGAGAGACTACCAGTCTTATCGTGGATATGGATGAACTAAAATACCTTTAAAAATATCGAACTAGATTTCCGTATTATGTCCCGATAAGAATAATGAATAGTAACTCTTGGGATCCATTTATGGACCAATATTATGCGTACATTTTTATCGTTTAATTGTTAAATAACTAAATTATTCATATGCATTTCTCTCTCATTATGAGCTTTATTTTGACCTATGAACTGTTATTATACGACTTACCATTCTTGAGTTATGCCTTGTCTATCAATTACTATACCCCTTATTCACAGCCACATTTGGCTAAATCTAGTACAAATGTTGTTTCTTATTTTATGGTAGGATGTGGTCTGTTTGATTAGTATATAAGCCCTGTATGTTTGAAATAAATGATTCATATCGCAGAGGCTGAGATTGGTGTTCTGAACTTAACTGGTTGGGCTAGTCGGTCAGTCAGGACCAATAAGGACTCTAGACTGCTCGCACGTGTTTTATGCGTTGTTGGTCTGATCGATAATCCACTGCTCTCTGATTGGCGGTATCATTACGTTATACATTAACAGGACAAATAGGCCACAAGTTATAACATTCTGCCACTGGAAAAGTCGCATACATGGAAAGATATTACCTGACAAAGTGTTAAACTGAGTAATTTTGAATACTAAAATTCCGTAATGCAAAGCTTAGACTTATCAACGCCTTGTTTAAAGTGGCAAGCCCAGTGTTTCATTAAAATAACATTTTTCGTACTTAAATTTATGGAATGAAAGTGAATAATAGAGAGAACAGTGTTGATTGGAATTGGTCATAAACTTTCATTATATTAAGGACTATGTTTTAGAGACTCACGTTTTTCTACACGAATGAATTTACATTTATCTAAAAAGTACAGTTTATTGAAATGATCGTTAAGGATGACCCACTAGGTTGACAAACTAGCCTTTTAATACGAGATATAACATCAATTAAAAATCAATAATCACAAAGTTACATATTAAGCCACATATAACTCGCACGCCATTAACAGTTAGGTATTGAATACTAATTGAAGCGGTGGCTTGGAAGCTAAGGCGTTTAATTTACAACCATTAAGTCACAGATTTGAGCTCCAATATCAAGTACTTCGGTTTATCCAACCAGATAGTCACCAGCCCCACACTTAGAGTGTGGTCCAAAGGCGAATACGTTATATGATTTGAGTAAATAAACAAACGACTCACCAAGTCAACCTACAGTTAGGGACAAACGTATGGTACCCCATGTTCTCATATCACATCACCACAAAAAGAAACTATCAAATATGAATAGCTGAGCTGAAATAATAGTAATGTTAATGATAGTGAAAGACTGCACATCGAAGAATATGGTTCGAAGAGATGACTTCAAAGGATAGAAACTATGAAATACGGAGGTAGTCGGGCATCCCTAACATACCCAAGACATCTCAGTCGATGATTTACAATCTTGTCAATAATTCGCTACATTTGCCAAGTACAGTAAGTCTAACCAGATCGCTGCTGTTACACAATAAGCAAACTATGTACTTGGTGAGCTTTATTCGTGATAACGGATGTTAGTTCAAGACAATTTGATATAATCTGCCCTTTAATCTGTGAGAACACATGTCATGATATTTTTACGTTTAAACTACTTGCCCATCTTTTAGTTACTATAACACTTATAAAACCTCATAGAAAACCCTTTCATCAACAGTGAAAACTAAATGAGAAGTATTCAGACCACCTGGTTTATGAGCACATCCCAACATGGAAATAGGTATTCTTAGATTACATTGTTGACTTTTCTGACGCTAGCAACACTACTCTGCAAAATACTAAGTTATTTCTATAGAAGATATATAAGTAGAATTTTAGTTGTTTGTTTAGATCCATCTTGAGAAGCCAATAAGTTAAAAAAAACAACGTACGATCTGGGACAAATGTCCATCAGTCTCAATCGCCACCCTTCGCATCAGCTGAGAAACAGGGAACTGACAACCAGAAAAGCGAAGGATCATCAAAAAATACGAACGGTGAAAAGAAATTAAAACAAAATATAGTTCGAAATAGGCAGGTGACTTTTTGGGGTGAGGGGTATTAGGTAATACTAGAAGCGAACAAGCATGCTCAATGTGTTTTGATCATAGTCCATAAAACAACTGAGTAGCTGATTACAAACTATCCAAACAAGGAGTATCCCAAGATGACTATTTACCACAACTGACATTATAATAAACTTGATAGGAAACCCTTTATAATCAAACTATGAAAACTTCAGTGCGCCTTGCAGAGTTGAGCTTTAAGGAATCGGACCAAATGTACGGCTTTGAAACACAAGCGGACATGCTTTCTAATTTAATCCTACCATTTTGGCACATCACATTCAAAATAATTTTTATTCCTCGTTAATTTGTAGAACCAACTACAACACATCAGATTCCCCATCGACATAAGTAGCTATGGTGAATAACACTGAATAATCAAGAATTTCTAGACGGACAACAAGGTATTTGCATACATATGTGGGATCGAAATGCAAGATAGCTACGGACGATTGCTGATTGCTAATTACTGTCATAATTAACACAGTAATGGATATCCTAATGCATTTGAAGCTTCAGTATGACTTTGATGTACAGAATATGTTTTTAATTGGACGCTTTATTACAAGTTGACTAGTCTAGTCGATAGCAATTGAACTCCGCTACTTAAGGGACTAAAGTGATCCCAGAGGACAAGATAAATATCAACAGACGAAATCAATCGGTGAGATTTTACTATTATCTGTTTGATTTAATAAAGCATAGGATGTTTTCTTTCTTCATTAGTAGGCAGTCCCAAGAGGATATTAAATTAGCAAGCTCAAACTTTCATTTGGTATAGAAAATGATAGTTAAAAAGTTCGCCCATCACTTTATATTCCCAGATAATATTTAAAATAAGACGTAAGTAAAGGCCACTCTCGGTTTAAGCACTCTAACTAGTCCACAGACGAGTCGCTCGAACAGCACCAACATTGCCAAACAAACATCACTGTGTCAGGAACCACTTTGGTAATGAAACACACATCTGGACTCAAGCGGAATAAAATTTACCAAAACAGCAATAATGAGTGGAACATACAAATGTCTCACCTCCAGTAGGTCTGAATCCTTTGAAGTCACGCAAACGACACTCTTGGTGCATTTAAACGATCGGTATTTAGATCCTGAATACGAAATTGCTAGTCCTTATTGTTCTATGCAACGAAGGTTCCCAAGAAAGTTGTCTGTCCCTCACCATAGGAAATACCCATAAGACCTGATAATCTAAGGACAGTGGCCAGTCGAAAATCGCGCCAGATCTCTGTCTGGGTTTCTATTTCTTCATTTTTATAAGCATCTAGAGTGTATGTATGTATACGCAATCGTTCAACTCCTCGTGATCAAATTGT